TGCCAAGGGGCTCATGCAGGGGGACACGTGGGCGAAGGTGGAGGAAAGTGCAGAGTCGCAGGGTGCTCTGGCTCCTGCAAAAGGAGGCCGGGGACCAGGAGAAGCCAGCTGGGATCGGGTCAGGACCCTCCCTCACAGGCAGGCCGCCGTTAAAAGGCTGGGACTGGATCCTGAGGCCCACCGGGCGGGGTCATATTGCCCCATTTTCCCGATGCAGCAAGCCAGGTCATCCAACCCGTGTTTGGGGCTCAGCTGCAACAGGCCCTCGGAAGCGAGACGCTCTGCACCCTCCACGGGTGCAGCGGCCTGGCTGTGCCCCATGTCGGGGCACTGTGCGCCAGGCGCAGTGCGGGGAGCACACGCACCTCCTGCCTCCCTGTGGTCACGGTGGCCTGAAGACTCTCTCCCGTGCTTCCTCATACCCAGGACCCTAGCCCAGACCGGATCAGCGGTTTCTCGGTCCCTTCTGTCCCCACCACCCTATACCCGAGGGGCTACCCACCAAGGACACTCGCACCCGTGCTCCCCAACCTTTTCACCTTGATCCTGCCCACCGGATCTCCCCCAACCGACTCTAGGGGCCTCCCCTTTCTCACACCGTCCCCACCCACCCCGTCCCAGCGAGCAGATTAATCCAGAGGGAACAGGATCCCAAGAACCCTGACTTCTAATCTTCCATATGTTCATCTGTAAAACGGGAAGAATGCGCCTCCTCCTTCAACACCCGAAGGGCTGTTGCCCAACTGGGGTGAGACAACTGTAAGATGAGATCTATAAAGTTAATTTCCAATCACCCCTCAGTCCTCTCCCAACTTTGTTCCCTGGTGAACCTGAGGGCCCAGGTGGACTTCAGCCGCATTGATCCTTCAGGGCAGGTGGCAGCTGAGTGCTAGCTCAGTGGAGGTGGGTGATTCAGAGAGCAGAGCTGACAGTGGAGAAGGGGCTATTAGCTCTGGGGCTTCTCTAGGGGCTTTTTTTGTTTGTCATTTCCCGGTAGCTATCCCAGGGCATCACCCCACCTTCCAAGCCCCTGGGGATTCCTTCCCGATTCTGCCCGCGGGGTGAGCCTCTGCCAAAATGTTGGGACCCCTCCATTCTCAGCGCCCTCACACTCAAACAACTTGAGTATCGACAGATTAGAGAAACTGCCAAGTGAGGATGTCATTCGACTCCTCCCCACACCCCCTGAAATCTTGCAACAGACACACGCTTAGAGGTCATAGTAGCTTCTAGAAACCATCATTTTAGGAACGAGAATATGAGGCCGAAAGCAGACAACTCAAGACGGCTCAGGCTCTGATGCCCACCGTCATGCTGCCTCCCTGGACCTGCTTCTCTGCTCCCAGGTCCTTGAACAGATGCCCACACCTTTCCTGAGGGTCAGTTTCCCAGCCTGCAAATGGGAGTAAGCGAACTAAATGACCCACCTAGAGTCATGAGAGATTAGATGAGATAATTTCTGCCAAGACCCACTAAGTGTCTGGCACAGCGTAACTGGCCATTGGATAGAAGCCACTACCCTTGTCATTCTAAAGGCTCCCATATTGCGGCAGCCAGATTACAGATTTCATGGTTTACTGTGTGCACGGAATATTACATGTATTTTAGCAGTCACGTTTCACACCAGCCCGTGGGCACATCTGCACGCGTGTGCATTCAGAAGTATTTACCAAGCACCCTCCACGTGTCAGGCCCTGTGCTCAGCGCCGGGTCCCAGATCGGGATGACCCTGGATAGCTCTGGAAGCTAAGCCTTACAAGGAAGACAGATGCCATTTGTTTGCAGAGCTCTCCCGAGGGGTCTTATCGCTCAGGTTTGGGCGCCAAACGCTGCCCCTCCGCAAGCCTTCTGGTTTCCGGATCTGGACCGATTGCTGAAACGCTTTCTTCTTTGCTTTCCATTCCGGTGCCCCCAGCCTCGCATCCTGCTGTCAGCCCTGGCTCGCCCCCGAGCAAGGACGCTGCTCTCCTTGGCAGTCTGGCCCAGCGGCTGCTTGAATGTGTGCAGGAACTTGGGGAAGGGAAAGGCGAGAACGCGAAAGAATGGCCCGGGGAGGAACCCGGGAAGCAGTGGGAGGTCTGAGCCCTAGGAGCCCCGAGAGCCCGCCCCGGGCCTATTTGGCACAAGCTCCTCCCGGCCGCCAGGCGACTGAGCAAAGGCCGGCCTCGATGCGCACCCGGCCTTTTGTGGGAGGGAAACACAAAGGAGAGGGAAAAACACGTCTTCCGTTTTGACGGAGGAGGCCGACAGCTTCTGGATGCCTGGGCCAGCCAGGAACTCCCAGAGCCCGGCTGATTAGCCTCGGCAAGTCTCCGTTTCGCGGGAAGGGGCTGTGGCATTGCCCAGGACCCACCCAGGACGTGCACACCAGGATCCCGGCTCAAGAACAGAGCAAATGCCAGGACGCCTCCGGGACGCACGAGGGCAGGCTCCAGCGGCTGGCTCAAGTTTTTGATTATTCCTGGAGTGGGGGTAGGAGGGCTCAAAGACCCACAGAGAGGAGTCCAGCAACCCGGGCTCCCTTAGCCCAGGGGGACACAGACTGCCCCTACCTCCCAGAGCAACTTTCTGACAGCCACAGAATGTTGGAGGATGCTGCGGGGAGAAGGGGTCTCCAGCCCAGAGCTGCCGGGCAGCTGAGCTCCGGGCTTGGGGAGTGAGAACCGCGAGGTGCCGCTGCACAGCCCAGAACAGCCACCACTGCCCCTGGCTCAGTGGGACGGGTTTGGGGCCTGGGGAGTATCCATACGGGCGTTCATGAGAGAACCTGGCGAAGAAGCCAGCTCTCCGGCCCGCAGCACTCTGCCTTCCCAGGCTTTAAATACGCAAGGTGCCACAATGAGCCCCTCAACCTTCGCCCCTGCTTCCAACTCCAGCCTCTGCAAGGAGCGCTTAAAGAACCCCAGACACTCTCAGGGACCGAAGGACGCAGGACAGTTGCCGGTGGCAGGCAACAAAAGAAGGAACCAAGGCTCCAGGACACGTGCCGCCCTCTGGACTAACCTCAGCGTCTGTAACCCAGGCGCGCTCGCAGGGCGCGCCAGCCGGTGTTTATTAGATACACAGGGGTGCGCACAAGTGGGCTGGTGGCCCCATGGCTCACACTCCCACGAATGTCTTCACTGCCTGTGGTCAGGGAGGCCCAAAGGAACCATTGTCTAATACCTATTCCAGTTACTCTTGCTCCCCACTCCAGCCCCCTGCCTTCCACCTTGTGACAGATTCTCCTAAATCAACGGTTATGGGCCATCTTCCATAACCGTTGGACGACATATTCCCACACTTCACTTCTTCATGCTTGAAGCACACATTTAATGGGTGGCTGCAGAGCCAACCGGGAAACACACGGGTTGAAAAATTATGCTCCAGAAAGCACGAGAGGAGAGGCGAAGGCGAGAACCCACTAGATTTTCTCTCATAGTCTTACTCGGTCATTGGGAGCAATAGGGTGGGCTTATTTTTGTATTTATTTTGTACTTTCCCAATTTGAAAGTAAGACAAACAAAAATTACTTTGTTTTTGACGCGGTACAGGGAAAGTAAAATTTCCCAAACAACCACATAAACAGAAGAAGGAGGTCTAGGGCGTGCTTGTGTATGTGTCTGTGCAATATAAAGGGCTAGGATCCCGGATCTGCAGAACCAAACTTCTGTATTCGAAAGGTATGGATGTAAGGAATCCAGCTCGGGGAAGAGGTTAGAGACATTCAGCTGCCACTACTCTAAGGAACTGCCAACGCAGCCATCTGTGCCGTAAAGGGTTAGCAGTGTTTTCTGTAGGTTTGCTATAGACATCGTCTCTTGATTTTCCCGTCTGTAAAATGGGTTGGATGCGTCAGGACCACTAAACTATCTCAGTTAGCCGCTTCTCTAAGATCAAGTTTAATCTCTGATTGGGCAGGAGTTTTGGGGTTTAGCGGCCAAGCTGCGATTGGTAAAAAGGTGTCTGAGTACCGCTGCAAGTAGCTGGATCTTGCTGTCTGGCCCTTAAACGTTTATTTTCCCACCCCCCAGACTAACTAGCGTCTCCCTCCTCCCCCACAGCGTGGTCAGGACCACAAGGATGATGCTGAAAATACCGTCATCGGCTTCAGAGCTAATAAATGAGGGGAGGGGAGGGCTCTTAACTTTGGGCTCCAGATTCTGCCTTCCGTTAGTGCGGTTCCCGTGGGGGGAAATACCTCGTCCCTGTGCCTACCCCATTCTCAACTTTAGGAGCGGTCGTGATTTCTTTCAAAACACGCTTCAGGAGTAGGTCCCCTCCGCCTCGCAAGGCCCTGCCCCCAGCTGGGGGCGCTACCAGCCCTCCGCGGAGGAGCCGAACCGCCAGCTCCCGGAGGCGCGCTTAGCTTGGAAAGAAAGTAGGGGCTTTGTGCCTGGGCTGTCCTTTACGTTTGGGGCTCAAAATGCCCACGTGTGGATGAAACCCTTGAGACGGGGACAGGCCACGGGAACGCAGAGGGAGATGAAATGCAAAACGCAGGAGACTCCAGCCCCAGCTGCCTGCATGGCCGGGGTTACTCGCGCGCATCCCCAAAGCTCCGGTCGCGTTGGGTGTCAGCTTGGTTTTCTGTCTGCAGACACCCCCGGCCCACCCCAGCCCCCTGCCTGACTCTGCGGTCACCGTATTTTTACAGCAAGTTGACAACACTCCCTCTCTCCCCATCTCAGCTGCATTCTCTTCTGGCCTCGGTACTTCCCCGGCGAGCCCGCCCTCCTCCTCCCCCTCGCCTCTCACACCCCCTCCGCGGGTTCCTCCTCCAGTCCCTCCCCAAGAATCTCCCGGCCGCCGACGCCCATTGGCTGTGCGCGGGGAGGAGGCGTGTGCGGGCCGGGCGAGTTTCATTGAGCGGAATTAGCCGGGATGACATCAGCTTCCCAGCCCCCCGGGCGGGCCCAGCTCATTGGCGCGGCGGCCCCTCCAGGACCCGCACATTGTTCCCCGCCCCCGCCTCGGCCACCGCCGCCGCGGCCGCCGCCGCCACCGGGCTATAAAAACCGACCGAGCCCCGAAAGGTGCGGATGCTCATTATAGACCAACGAGACCTCGGCGCCCGGAGCCCGGTTCTCCGCTGCGGCTTTCGGGAACCAGCTCCTCTAATTGCATCCACAGTAAGTGTCCCCGCCCCCAGCAGCCCCAGTCTACATCCCGGGGACAGACGCCCCTCAACTGGCCTGCGACCCAGGGCGGCTTCGTTAGAGAGGGCCCCGATCCCGGCCCTGCCCGCCAGTTCCCCCGAGCTCTCGGGGTTTCGCTGCCCCGACTCTCCCCGCAGCATCCCCTTCGCCCCAAAGCGAGAAGTCGGGGCGACCACAGCTCCTTCTGCCCAAGTCTCGGTGCGCTGGCAAAGCTCCCCGCGGCCCCCCGGACGCAGCGCGTGTTATCTAGGCTCGCGGGCGCTGGGTGCCTGTGGGTGTTTGCTGCGCGGTGTCGATGGAGATAAGGTCGATGCGTTTGAGAAACCAAATAAATACTTCTCTATTTAGAGCTCCTCTATTTCCCCCCCCCCCCAAAAAAAAAAACCCTCACTTGCCCTGGGGATTCAGCCTCCCGGTTCCCAGTTGCAGGCATAAAGCTTCCAGAATGCCACCCTCACCGAGGGGCAGCCAGTGCTCCCTGGAATAAAACAACCTGTGGATGAGAGCGGAGGAGGTGGTGATGGGAGGGATGAGGGGGATTATTTCGTGCGTACCTGGGTGCCGTTGACCGAAGGCCGGACACAGCGAGGTGGTCACGGAGCAACCGGCCACCGGCGCCTGGACCTCGCGCTGCGGTGCAGGCGGGAACAGCTTCTCTCTCTCTCTCTCTCTCTCTCTCTCTGTCTCTCTGTCTGTCTCACGCTCCACCGCGATCTCTCTCTCTCTCCTGTTTCTTCTCCTCTTTCGCAGGAGGCGTGCGTGAAGCTCCGAGGGCCCGGGGAGGGAGGGAGGACCCTGCGAAAGCTGCGACTATCCCCGGGGGGCCATGGACTCGGACGCCAGCCTGGTGTCCAGTCGCCCGTCGTCGCCAGAGCCCGATGACCTGTTTCTGCCGGCCCGGAGCAAAGGCAGCGGCGGCGGCGGCTTCACGGGAGGCACCGTGTCCTCGTCCACGCCGAGCGACTGCCCGCCGGAGCTGAGCGCAGAGCTGCGCGGCGCCATGGGCGCGGCGGGCGCGCACCCCGGGGACAAGCTGGGCGGCGGCGGCGGCTTCAAGTCATCCTCGTCCAGCACCTCGTCGTCCACTTCGTCGGCGGCCGCGTCGTCCACCAAGAAGGACAAGAAGCAGATGACGGAGCCCGAGCTGCAGCAGCTCCGCCTCAAGATCAACAGCCGCGAGCGCAAGCGCATGCACGACCTCAACATCGCCATGGACGGGCTGCGCGAGGTCATGCCTTACGCGCACGGCCCGTCGGTGCGCAAGCTCTCCAAGATCGCCACGCTGCTGCTGGCGCGCAACTACATCCTCATGCTCACCAACTCGCTGGAGGAGATGAAGCGGCTGGTGAGCGAGATCTACGGCGGCCACCACGCGGGCTTCCACCCGTCGGCCTGCGGCGGCCTGGCGCACTCGGCGCCCCTGCCCGCCGCCACGGCGCATCCCGCGGCCGCCGCGCACGCCGCGCACCACCCGGCGGTCCACCACCCCATCCTGCCCCCCGCCGCCGCCGCCGCGGCCGCCGCCGCCGCCGCCGCCGCCGTGTCCAGCGCCTCGCTGCCGGGCTCCGGGCTGTCGTCGGTCGGCTCCATGCGGCCCCCGCACGGCCTGCTCAAGTCCCCGTCGGCGGCGGCCGCGGCGGCGGCGGCGGCCCCGCTGGGCGGCGGCGGCGGCGGCGGCGGGGGCGGCGGCGGCTTCCAGCACTGGGGCGGCATGCCCTGCCCCTGCAGCATGTGCCAGGTGCCGCCGCCGCACCACCACGTGTCGGCCATGGGCGCGGGCAGCCTGCCGCGCCTCGCCTCCGACGCCAAGTGAGCGGCCCGCGCGCGGCGCGACGTGGCGAGCGCAGGGACCCGGAGGCCGCGGGGGAGCGAGTCGGGGCGCTCGGCTCGGCGGAGCCCGGGGCCTGGGGGTGGGGGCGGGGGCCCCGGGGAGGACCCCGGCGCGGCGCGGCGCGGCGCCGCTGGGAGCGCAGGGGCGTCCGCCCTGGGACCCGGTTCAGCCCTCTCCAGGCTTTAAAGGGCGCTGCTGCTCGCAGAGACACCGTTTTATAAGAAGGCGCTGCTAGGTGCATCCCTCCCTCGACGTCCCCCGCCACTCCCCCCCCCAAAAAAAAGAAAGAAGAAGAAAAAAGAGAAAAGAAAAGAAAAAAGAGAGTTTCTCGAGGCCCGGGCTGCACTTCGTTACAGGGGGGAGGAGGGCGGGAGGACGGCGTGGGGGGGCTGCCTCCGGGGAGGCCGGCAGGCCTGGGCCTCTAGGGTCGTCCCTGGCCCAGGGCCAGCGGCTGCGACTTCCTTGGGAGCTGTCATTGGGTACCAGGAGCACTTACAGTCGGTCGCGTCCAACCTGGGTAAAGCCGCCACTGTCACTGTCTGAGAACTCTTGCCGGTCCTCCCTGTCGCTCCTCTCGGTTTGGGGGATTTTGTGGTTTTCTAATAAATCTGTGTTCCTTTGTCAACAGTGCCAGCAAGCTTTATAGAAGGTCAGAATAGAACCCACTTGTGGATTGGAATAATCTAAAACTGTCGACTTTGGGGGCGGGTTTTTGTTTTTGTTTTCTGTTTTGTTTTGTTTTTTGTTTTTTGTTTTGTTAATTATTTTAAAATAGACTCTTTCCCCCTCCTTCCCCTTCTTTCCGTCTCTAAGCACAACGTGATTGGATTTATTACCCGATCCGGGGCAGTCAGTCGGATACCTGAGGGTTTGACGGAGCTCAGAGGCTGTTGCTGTGAATATAGTTTGGGTTCTCTGGGAGTTCCGTTGGCTTTTTACATTTTTTTCTTTCTTGGATGTGTAAATATAGGATCCATAATGAGGTAAGTGCGTGCTGCTAAGCTGTTTGCTCACGTGACTGCCGGCCCCTCCGGAATCTAAGCTGGGTTCCCACTACGTTGGTTTCTTTTTGCCACGTTTAACACAAATGACAAACTTTTTCCACGTGCTTCCTGCGTCCTGGCAAACTGGCGCTGCGCTACCAGCGTCGCAACATGGGTTTCACAGCGTCTGCCACGTAACATCCCTCCTCTGACCGCTGTCCCTTGCAGAGAGTGTATCATCTGTTTTATTTTTGTAAAAAGAAAAAAAAAGTGCTAAATAATATTTATTACTTGTTTGGTTGCAAAAACGAAATAAATGACCAAGTGTGGAGATTTTAAATAAAACGTAAAGTAAGTCGGGTGTTTTCCAACCCTGCGGGTGGAAAGAGGTACCGGGAGCCACCTAGGGAAGGGGGTGCAGGACTCTATCCCTTGGAGCCGGAGCTGGGGACCATTCCCATGGTTTCACCCTGGAAGAAGAGGGGTTTGTTTGACTCTTCTCCCGCCAATCTCCCCCACCCCCAACAAACACACTTACGTTGTCTTTAAAGCGTGTTCTGAGCACATCTTCGGAATGTTGTATTTCTCAAAGCTCTCTTGTTACTTTGATTTTTCCAACAACGCCTAATCCGGAACTCCTTTGCCCTTTCGTTGAGGACTGAGTTGGTTGAAAGTGAAAATTGCCCTCCCTGCGCCCGGAATTGGTGCCTCCAGGGCGAGGATCCTGCCTTCTGCTGGGGGTCCAGACACTCAGGCCTCTAGTCCTACTGGGATTTTTTTTTCTTTTCCCCTTTGGGCTCAGGAGCAGCCGTCCACCCCCATCCTGCTGAGGTGGCACCCTCAGGCTTCAGCTAAGGACCGGCCACTTGGAGCCCCCAAGGCCCGCCGCCCTGGTGCGTGCTCTGGGCAGAGCGCCTCCGGAGTGTCGGGTGCAGAATCCGCTAATCCTTCTCTCTTTTTCACTCCCTGGGCACAACCCTCCCCGGGCTCCCACACTGGCCTGGAACTGCAAAGCCTTAGGTGCTGGGAACGGCCAGCCTGGAGCGAGACTCTCCCGCACTGCGCTCTCAGCCTCGGCGCTTTTCCCCCTCCGGGCCGCCTCTCTCTTCTCACGGTCACTGGGTTCCTCACAATCCAGAATTGCAGCGCACATTTAGGACTCGGATAAAAAAAAATAAAGAGGTTCTGGGTAAAAATAGAAAAGCTTCGGCCTTTCTGGTCAAGGAGGACAGACCCTGTGGTAGTTTCTTAGCCTGCAGGGCTTGAAGGAGAACACAGTCCCTTGAAAGCCAAGATTGATGTGGGCACAAGGGACAGTTCCCCAGCCCTGGTCCCTGTTGCCCACAACCCCTTTGGTGGCTGCTGGCAGAAGGTCCCTGCGTACCTGGGACACCTGGGGGTGGAGAAGGTTTCTTTGGTCCTAACCTCATTTTTTGAGGCCCCTGATCATGGCCCAGGCGAGTTCTCCCTTTTCAGGACTGAGGGTGGCTCCATCCCCTAGCTTGGGGACAGGTGTTTCCAGATGCCCTGCAGGTGTATTGAGCTGTGCTGGCCAGAATGGCAGGCGCTTGGAGGTCCCTCGTGCTGTAGGCCTCCTTTTGGAGGCTCTGCTTTTCACCAAAGGCCAGAGGAGGCCAAGCAGTGGGGGAGGAGGATCGAAGGGGACAGGGACCTGAGCGTCCCCGTGCAAATCCAAGAAGAAGATAGGGCAGGATCTAGTAGCTTTATTTTGAAATCCCATCTGAAACGAAATTTGTTAAGAACTCAAAACTGGGTCAGGTTCTGGCGGCAAACACATATGGCGGGACGCAAAGAGGCTGGAACTTGGATGGGGGGAGCTCAGAACCCAGGAGAACGGGGTTGGGAGCTCGGTTGCAGTAGCAGCTTCCTTCACCCACTGGAAGCCTCGGCGGCGGGTGTCCGCGCGGGCTCCTGGTGTGCAGGGTGTACAGAGAGGGGAGCATAAAAGGGAAGAAAATAAACCAAGTCTTCCCCTCCCCGCCCCCCTCACACCCCAGCTCTCCATCAGAGTCCAGCCGCCAGCCACTCTAGACGTCTGCCTCCAAGGAAGGAGGGGCTGGATCCAACCAGGATCCCAGCCTCCCGGAGGAGTCAACCGCCTGAACTGCGCCTGAACTGCGCGCCCAGCCGGGATCGCGGCCACCGTGTGTGACAGAGGCGCACCCTCGGCCACTACCGCTGCAGAGATGCACAGGCACACAGCAGCCTGCACAGCTGCCCAGGGCAGGTGGCTCCCGGCAGGAGGGTGGCCCCAGACTGGAATGAGGGGGGGTGAGGAGGGGGACTCAGAACCACCGCTAGGCTTCAGAGTAGAGCAGGAAAAGAAGTTATGCAAACTCTCAGACTCCCGAGGGTCCTTACCTGGGGGTGGGGTTCCCACCGAGGGAAAGGGGAAAGGAAAAGGAGGTAGAGTAACAGTCCAGGCCTGGCCCGGTGTGCAGGGCACTGTCAGGGCAGATCCCCTCCCTGAGAGCATTAGTCCAGAGGTCCTCTCCAGCCCTGAGCCTCAGCTCAGCTTCCCCACCTGCCATGTAGCCCCCTGGTTTCCCGGCTCTCAGCTGCAGAACCAGGGACTTCCGTCACCAGACCTCAAGGTCTCGGAGATGCTCCCCAATCTCCTACAAGAGTTCAGCCTGAGATTGATGGGCAGAGCCTTCTCCACCGCCTCTGTGCTCCAGGGCCCTGTCCTCTCCCCGTCACGCCCATTTCTGGAACAGTGAGCCCAGGGACAAAGCAAACTCTCAGACCTAACGTTCATCTCAGTCTGGGAAGGTGTTACTGAGACACAAGATGTCCCTCCCAATGAGGAGGGCTATGGGAAGACCTAAGTGACAGGGACTCACAGGGCAATCTGGGGCGGGGGCAGCCCTGCAGGTAGGACCTGTCCTTCTCATTCCCAGACCAGAATCAATGAAGAATTCTGGGACTACTGCATTGGGTTTTAAAGCCCCCTCGATACTCTAAGTGCTGGAGAATTGTCTGTCTGCTTCCCCTGAAGGCAGAATGGACCTAACAATCTTCCTGAACTCCCTCTAGTAAGTGAACACCTTCGTGTCCCCTAGAAGTTCATCTAAGCCAAAGGATCTTCTATACAAGCCCCATGTCTTATTTTAGGCCCTCTCTTAGTACAGACTTTAGGCCAAGTTCCCGGACCCCACACAGATGCTTCATAGTACCAGTAGGGATTATAGGGGGTGGTGGTCTTTGACAGGGACCTTACACCAAGGGTAGCAAGACCCCTGGCTAGTGCCAGGCCCCCTCAGTCATTGTCTCTAAAAAAAACATAAGGGAGGCCAGAAACAGGCCTGATGGCTCTTAGGATAAACCGTTGCTGCATTGAATCCCACCCTGGTTGGGAAGGGCCTGTGGAACATGCCTCTCCTGGGTTTGGAGGCTGGAGACACACATAGGCTAGATCCCTGGGGCTCCCTGTCTGAGTAAGGGCCACTCCCAGGAGGATAGGGATGGGGCAGGGAGGAGGGTGTCCAAGCTCTGAGGATTCCTGGAGCTCACATCCCTATTTCCCCATCATTCTCTTCATGGGCAGCCTCACTGCTAGAGGGCTCCAACGACTGCCCAGGTTCATGGGAGGACTGGGGTGCTGCAATGAACAACATATGAGACCTATCTGGGAGCAAGAAGGCCAGGGGAGGCATCCCTGGGGAGTTGAAGCTACTAATAATAGCAGGAGGCTGGAAGAGGAGGTGCCAACAAGCATTAAAGGCTCCTTGGTATAGAGCAGGGCGCTGAGAGCTTTAGCGTATTAATTCATTCAGTTCTCACCATAGCCCTTTGAGGATCCTGCTATTATTATTACATTTTACAGGTGAGGACACTGAGGCACAGAGAGGGTAAGTGAATGGCTCAGGGGCATAGCCAGGAAATAAATGCAGGTGGCAAACTTGTCATTGGAGAGTCGCTCCAGAGCCCACGGCCACGGCCACGAGGTCGTCCCAGCCGTACCCAGGCCCCTGGCTCTGCAGGCACCCCCCCCCCCAAGATCCTCCGAGCTCCAGCCCCCTTAGGTGACGCTCCTGGTGCTGCCTCTTCATGTCTGGACCCTTCTGCCTCCCATGCCCCCCATCTGGGCGGCAGGCGGTGCCGAAAGGCTTTATGATTAGGGCGCGCGGGGTGGCGCGGGCAGAGGAAGGGGCCGCAGCAGGTGAGCCGAGGCGGCCCCCGTGCGTTGCGCCCCGACAGCTGCTGCTGCACCCCTGGCTCCGTTGCGCAGTCCGCACCGCGTGTGGTTATTCGGAAAGGAGTCGCAACCCGAAATGCCCGCGGGGGGCCAGGCCCACACCTGCGCGGCGGCCGGGCTGCGGGACGACCAGAGGAAGCGCCTGGGCGAGCTGGGGGCGCGCGCCCTCCTCCCGGGGGGCTCCGGGCCCCACTTTAGAGCTGGCCGAGGACCCCAGAGACAATCAAGGGGGCCGAAATCGCCCACGGGCTCCGGGTGTAACCCCCGGACGTGGCGCGGTTAACCAGGACCTCCCAGCCGGGCGCTGGCTTTGCAGGCTGCGTCTTGACCTGGGTTCCCCCCCGCCGCGCCCCGTGCGCCCGCGGCCCCTCCGCCCCTTCTCGGATCTCCCGGATCTGGCGGTTGTGGCGCAAACCACACGGGTAGGCGCGCACCCCGCCTCCGCAGGCCCGCCCCGCCCGCCCGCTGCCCCAGCGCCGTCCACACCCGCGGGGTTGAAGTCACTGCTTTGGATCGCGCGCGGCTTTCGTTTGGGAGCTTTTCTTCCCAGGCGGCCGCACGCCTCTGAGTGCCTGGCTGTGGGAGGAGTTGGGGTCCCCCCCCCCCAGAGGGAGCCAAGCAGATCCCACGTGGGGGCCAGACAGCGTGGCGGGAGAGCCCCCGGGGCCCACGGACACGGCCACCGGCGGGACGCACACACCCGCGGCCGTGCACCCGAGTCCGAGCGGCAGGCTCCTGCACACGAGTTCGCTGTCTCCCGGGCGTCCTAGAGCAGCGGCCTCAGGGGCTGGAAGCCCGGCGCCCCCTGAGCTCCTGATGCTGGGTGAACGAGGTCGCTGGCCCGGGTAGCTCTGTTTACCTCTTCCCTCCTTGACTGGCCCGAGAACTGAAATCTGTCCCAGGCCAGGGCTTCTAGGTCTCCCAGGCCCGGCCCACCGACCTTCCCTCCAAGACCACACGGGCCCTCTGAGTCCTGGGGTCTCAAGGCTCAACTCCTGGAGCCCAGCGCAAGAGCCACCCAGAAATGCGCCCAGGGGCCACAGTCAGGACCTCGAGCAATTCACTCATCCTCAAATCTTCTTGGCGGTGGAAGCTGTCTTGCAGAGCAGGGCTGGAGTGGCCTCTCAGAAGCTGTGTGCATGCTCTCCTGGCAGGTTTCCCCCCCTGGAGAATCGAGTCAGGTTGAATGATCACCAAAGCTCTGTGGCAGGTCAGGGTCCGACTCAG